ATATATTTCCAAATATATATGTATTTGCAATTAATTATATATTAGCTTACAATGGAATATAAGAAATTAACAAATCAACGGCCAAATGGGGGCATTCTACTAACAACTTTTGTCAAAAATAAAATATTTTTTTTAACTTTTTAACTAACTTTTAAAAAGAGATTGTGCAAGATTGACTAAAATTATAACAAAAAAATTATGCTGGTATCTGTTATTCAAATCAATCTTATACTGTAATAAATATAACTTACAAGTTGTTTATTCATGGTTTATTCATAAATAAACCAAAATAATACCAAAGCTGATGTCATTCCAAGTAGGTCAGAGCTTTGGTATCTCTAACATAAACATTATTAGGAAATATCAGAAATTATTACAATGAAGAAGATAATAGTTAATTTTCATATGTATAATATAACTGATTTTAATTAATAACAGGTGTGTATGACTGTGATTATATCAAATGTCTGAACGATACATTTTGTAAAATGTCTAACTTTACAACACAACGGTGTTATTGTCCCGATGGAATTAGTGCAATTGGTTCTCAATGCAATTTAAGTAAGTATATTTTGTTATTACTGAACATTATTTCTAATAACTGTTTTAATAACTACGCATCACTACGCCTATGAGTTCTCAGGGGCCAAAGCTGAAAGGGGCCCCAAGTGGACCTGGATCCTAGCCCGAACCCAGTGTTAGTATAATGTTTCAGTTTTAATATCTTGATGAAGCATCGCACAGACTCTAATCAATATCAAACCAGAGTAAATGAGTGAAAATTAAAATAAATCGGTCCAGTCGTTCAATTGAGTTATGAGCCCAGAAGGACACACACGCCACACACAGAGACGTGTGCTTTTGCAATACCTAACCTCTTCTTTGGAGAGACAAGGGAATCACCTCCTTCGAATAGGCGAGGATAACAAACAGTTAACTTTTACTTGAGAAATGTTGTGCATATTAGACAATACATTTACCTAAAAAATGTACCACTCCATTGTAGTCGTTAGTTTTATGAAGACTGCATTTTATAAGTACAGTACAAGGAAAAGGCTAACTTTAACATTATTTTTTGTTGAATAGCTTGTGAAGTGTACTGCCGACTGAAAGTGTTTCAAGTTCAGGAGGATCTGCTGGTTTTCACACCTTTGTTGAATGGAGGGTTGTACCAGATGGTGTTTTGTTTTCTTTGAGGCTTGTTATTTCCAGGCGATGGTTTAAAGCTCATTGTGCTGGAAACCTCTCTTCTTTAATGCTTTTTTGTAGTCCGGAGCAGCCTTGAGAAATGTAGCCTTGGAATCAGAGATGTTAGATATTTGTTGATTAATTGATGTAAGTAGGTATTTGTTTTAAAATGGTTGAGGGATAGTTAGAGCGTGAGTCGACTTACAATAACTGGTTATTCGCTTTAATAAACGGTTGGTAGTTATAGTGTTGTAGATCCAGTGTAACATCGAGGAAGTTAGTAATTTTGATGTTTGCTTGTATTGTGATGCGAAGATCAAAGGAGTGAAAAATGGGTGTTATTTCCTTTTTCATCTTCTCACACTGCCTTGGTGATGTGCTCTTCATGATTGCGAGGCCGTCGTCTCGTTATAGGCCGATGTTGTTTTTGCCAAGCTTTTTTGCAGGTGATGATAAAATGAAAGTTCACATACTTTCGCCCCTTCGAAGCTGACCATGGTGACGTCAAACATGTCCTTGGAGCTTTTATTTTTCCATGCCGAATCGCTGTCAAATAGGATGGAATTACGTGCTTTCATGATTACATTTATTTCCTCTTCTGTAATGCTGGTAGGCTTCTGTGCATGCTTGATGGAGTTGATTAACAGGTTTTTTGTAATTGAAAGGTAAAATTCCACGATGTCGAATGCAATTAATGAGCTTCTGGATTTTTGTTTTATGCTTTTAAACCAATTGATCACTGCCAAGGTATTTTTCCACTGATGTAGTTTGGTTTTGGTGATCGGATTACGGTTAACACGATCAAGGATGGTTTTGCTTATGCGACCGATTTCTTGTTTTGATAGGTTGATTAGTCTGCAGCTTGGTTTGTTCTGAAAGTTATCTTTATGGTCCTTTAATGTGATGAAGGCTTCCTTTTCTGCAATCGTTTCAACAAGATCGTTTATGCTAGGCATGATGTAATCGTTTTAGCTATGCTGTTAATCTCAGAGATGCTGTCTATGTTTTGATCCTTCCTGAACTTGGTCAAAAAACACTTTCCTGTAGGCAGTACAGTACACTCCACAAGCTATTGAACAAAAATAATGTCAAAGTTAGGTATAGCTGTTCCAGAAACATGGGAAACACCATTCAGTCTCACAATAGCAGAATTCTTCGCACCACACCACAAGAACCGTCTAATACATGCAACTGTCGAAAGAGAGATGAATGCCCATTACCCCCTATCAAGAAACTGCCTGGCATCTTCAATTATCTACAAGGCCACCGTAACCACAAATGATAAAGTCAAAGAGTACATCGGACTTGCAGACAACACATTCAAAACCACATTTAGAATCATAAGCACACATTTAGCTCTCCGAACCATAAGAACATCACCGAATTATCAAAACTTGTATGGAAACTGAAAGCAAGCAGCACCCAATTAAACATCAAATGGTCCATAATTTCACATAATTTATTCAAACATACTATCAACTTTAAACAAAAGAACAGAGCTGCTTTCAATATGAAGACACAGAAACAAATTCCTACTTAAGTATGCGTAACACAATTGCATATACACCTGCTGAACCTCATAATTATATACTGTACCTCCATTATCTTCCTATTCATTCATTCCTGAAGATTACAACGTGCTTGCCAATATTTGAATTGTTTAAAAAATAATCTGCTGTTCACAAGTATTTTAGTGCATCATACCATGGTACGAAACATACGTACGTAAATACCTATACCTGAATTAATTTTTTTCAAAAGCCTTTAATGTAATCAATAGATACCAATAGATATCACTGGCTTGTTTTGAGTTAAAAAGTCAAACTACTTGCAGTGTTTTTTAGATCTATAGGCCTATTGAACGGACCCCCAAATAACGCAGGGGCCAGGCCGCATTATTATTTTTTCCATACAGTTAAGGCAGAAATCATAGAGGGTGCTATTTAAGGTATGTGAACTGATAACATGAATATGCACGCTTTGATCTCTTTCTCGTGAGTCGCGGAAGCAGTGGTGCTGCCTGCGGATGAAAGAATGTGAAAGCTACGGTGTATTAGTATAGGGTTAGGATAGGCCAAAATCTCTGGTAGTCGGTCTAGTGTGGTTGACACAGTGAAAATTAATGGTCTAATACAATCCCTATTCCTAGACACTGTTTACGTACATATGGTCTTTGAAAGTATAAAAAGCAGTACGTTGAATCTGGTCGGTTCTTTGAGTAGTAATAGTAGTTTAAAGATATAGCAGACATACTAACTAACTACATAAGATCTCCCTGGTACTACCATAAAGAAAAAAAAAATTCTTTCTCTATGGTATTACTACGATTCTATGATTAAAAATACTCGGACAATTCTCTGTATTGTTTTAATGTTGATTTTTCACAAACATTTCGTTCATATGCAATATGAATAAAAGTAAAAGGCCTAGATTTATATAGCAAGCAAATATATTATAAACATTAATTTTACCAAAACTGACGATATTCTATACTATGTAACGTAAGGTTTATTAAAGGCTGTCTACCCAATTAAAAAATTAAATAGATGGTTCTTCAAAAAGTCCTTAAATTTTACCAACCAATGAGTCATGCATAAGAATATAGCAAATATGCAATTGTCTGTTATTGACAGTGATTTTATTTCTCATAAAAATGTTTAATTGTGAAATTATATGTTAACAACTATGTCCGAAGTACTCCGCGTAATTTGCCTCTAAATGTTTATATCCTTCAGAATTAGTACTTCAGTACAACACATGTCATATCTAGGCCTATAACTCTACTGTACTTAAATAGCCAGATTCAATATTTACTGTGCTTTTATATACTTTAAAACGCCATGCTGTACATAAATTGTGTCTATTCATATAGAGATATTATTACAATTATAAGCCATTAATTTTCACACTGTCTTGACTACCAAATCCTATTTAAGAGATTTTGGCCTACGCCGTAGCATTCATCCACACATAAGCACTGCTTAATACTCCACGGAACTCTGATTCGCGAGGGGGAGGTCAGCATGCATATTCATGTATATCCAGTTCACCTAATTGACCTAAAATAGCGTCCTCTATAATTTCTGCCTTAACTGTATGGGAAAAAATAATGCGCCCCTGCCCTTTGCACTGGCTGCACTGTCCATACCTGCGCCATGGTATTTGTCTACCTATGCTGAAGTACAATTTTATCTTAAAAAGTTTTAATAAGTTAGGAGTCTGGAGGAATGGTCTCAGATCCTCCAGTGATGTTACATTAATTCATATTCCTCCTGCTAACTACTATCAGAGATAGGCCTAAACCATTTTCAAAATATGGACCCAAGTTATCCGTCTTCAACCTACTCTCGATTCCTGAAAGACACTGAAAATTCATCTACAGATGTAACATCAATGAATGACCTATAGACCTGCAGATGAACATGTTTTCTGATTTACAACAGTTAATAATGTTTTTGATGTGTTTGTAATAGTTTATGGGGTTGTCTGTAAAATGCTGTGCCTTGATTTGTTATGTTTAAACGCTTTGTAAATAGCGCTCAATAAGTGAAATAAAAAATATATATAATTGACTTCTATTTTAAACAGGTGTGTACGATTGTGAGCAAATCCACTGTTTGAACGATGGTGTTTGCCATTATAGCAATCAATATGATACCTACCGATATCGATGCGAATGCACAGAAGGTTTTAACAGCAGTAATTGTAATAACGGTAAGTACCTTGTGTTTAATGATTTTTTTTTTTTTTCTTAGTTGCTATATCTTGAGATTAGGGCTCAATCACAGGGCTAATTCTAGATACCATGAATACCTTTATATGCCTATTTAATGGACTTCCAAACTGACAACAAGTCTTGTTTGTTGGAATTACTTAAGCACACTACCCACAATCAGTAATGTATAAGTCAACAATATATTAATTATTAGCCTATATGTAACATGTAAATTTCATAGAAAGTTCTAGATATACCACTGACGCAACTGCTACAACTGAAACAACGGTTCTAACAGATGACTCTAACGGTACAGAATATGGTGGAACACATAAGACAGATGCGCTTAAAAGCATGTCATACATGTATACTACCCGTGTGACTCAATCTCACATTCAGGTTTGTCAACATTTTACACTTCATTAAGCTGTCTAATAGAGAAACTATTTATATGCAGTGGCGGCTCTAGGATATAATTTATTGGGGGGGGGGCTAAGATGTCCGACTGGGGGAGCTAAGTTATTTTTTAGTGTAACTATAGCGCACAGCGTTATCTGAGCGCCGAAAGCCCGAGCCAGGGTTGGGTATGGGAGGGGGTGTCCCCTCCCAAAACAAGATTTTTTTAAAACATTGGGACACCTAGATGGATGGAAATTGGCTGGGATGGGAAAACTAGGCCTTTTTTTTTTTTTGGTCTGACTGCCCGCCGAGCTTTGGCCGATGGGGGCCTTGACTGGACCGATGGGGGGGGGCTTTAGCCCCCAGCCCCCCCGCTGGCGCAGCCACTGTTTATATGGGTTTCCTGCAAAGACATTTATGGATTTTGCTTTTTACTCTCTTTTCAATTTCAATATTTTTACTTGCACTGATGCTAATGTGTGTAGTACTGTAGTAGATTGCTATTTTTTCAGTGCCCTCAGCTGACACAAGGAAATTATTAGGCAGGGGTCATATTTACCAAATATGTATATTTTCTTTTAAAATTTTAGCGTTTAGCTGAGAACGTTGGTCGGCTTGGAATTAACATTAGCGAAAGTGATACCATTTCTGTGCTAAATTCAACAATGAATCTTATGTCTGTTGGATCCCTAACTCACTCCGAAGTTGATACCACTATTGATATTCTTAACAGTCTCTTACAAGTGTCAGCAGTGTCGTCCAACACTACAATAAATGTAAGTATGTTTTTTCTTTAAATTTTATATTTGTTTACATAATAATAGCTTGTACCAAGAACATTATGTTGCAACAAACACCTAATTACAATATTAAGCTCTTTTGGTAACCATTATACATTTTCTATCTATTTGTTGTCCAAATAGGTAAGTAATCTAGCCAGAAAAACTTTGTTAAGTACGTTAAATTCTAGCTCTATTTTACCTGCACTACTTCATATATTTTGACATCGCTGTTGCACTATGGTATAGTTCAAAGAATATCTATTCTGCAAAACATATAGTGTACCTTCGAGATCTGCTACTCTGCTAAGCAGTATCACAGGTCTACTTGTTACTACTGTATTTTCTATCCATCCACCATAGGTATGTAGACTTCGAAAAAATTCAAAAGAAACAGTTGTAGTGTCGGTTCGCTAGGCGTATGATTATTGTCTGGTATACTGTATATCTAAGAGATTTTTTATTTATTTATTTATTTTGATATATAATTTATAATCGACAGCAACTGGTTGAACTACTACCACCACCACTACTACTACTACTACTACTACTACTACTATCATCATTATTATTATATTAATGATGATGACAATAGTGACTAAAGTGAAGTATAGAAAAGATGATGATGACCTAATAATAATAATAATAATAATTTACACAAATATAGCATATATTGCACAGTCCCTTTTTTGTGCACTTGATGATGATGATGATGATGGTGATAATGATGATAGTACGATGATGATGCAGATGCTGATATGGTGATTTTTATTAAAGCATGGTGAAAAATAGTGTCAGATATTATGTAATTATTATTTAAAAATGAGGAGAAAACAATACTTTCGTTTCTCATATTTGCTTGGCAATTATTTACAGTTGTTTCTTTCTACCTGTGACGACCTTTTAGCTGAAGAAAATATAAAAACTATTGTTCATTCTCGGGACTCGGTGAGTAATAAATACCTGTAACAATATTGAAAAATTTTGAATATATTAATTCTCATATGACAATGTGTTTTCCAGTATTCATACATTTTTAGGAAGTATAATGTTTAGTTTAGATCTCAGACGTTAAACCAGACATCACACGTAGGTGTATAAATAATGGAAACAAATCTTGTGCATGTATTTTTGGTTTTGACGAAGTACGGTATATGATGAGAATTTAACAGATAGTCTTGTGTTTTTATCGGAAACAGGATTCAAGTGCAACATCGAGTAAATTGCTGTTACTATTAGAAACATTTGCAATTGATGTGATTAAATCAATTGCAGAGAATGGTTCTGAGAAAGACACATATAGAGAGATATCATATAAGCGTGAAAACATTGGTAAGGCTTACATCAAGTCCTAATATTATTCTGTGCCACTATTGGTGGTTAGGTAACTTAAAATTTTAAAAATGTGTTTAATAGATATTAGGATACTGATTTTGGGTAACAGAAGAGTTTAAAATGCATTTGAAATCAGATTGGATAGGTTAGCATTTGATGGGCCTTGTTGCAAAAGTAGTAGTCTTACGAAAAAAGACAGTATTGAACATCAAATGCCGCTGGAGTACGCTGTTAAGACATTCAAGTGTATAAAGCGAATTTATTTTATTATTGTCATCGACGTGCCTGACGTCACAGTACTGACATAGCAATACTAAATGCCCAAATAGGTTAATAGACGTCAGAGATCTGTAGTCAGTGGCGGCTCTAGGATAAATTTGGGGGGGGGGGTGCTAAGTTGTCCTACAGGGACTTGAGCTCGTAGGCTCGAGCTGGGGGAAGGGGCTGAGAGGGTTTTTTTTTTCAAGAATAGCAACCTGAAAATATATATCACATTTTTAATATTATTTTCACCATACTGAGTATCGATTGAGATACTTGTATATATACTGTATATTTGTAGGCATGTGGAAAATACTAAGATTGGATATCCGAAGATATTATGTTTAAAGTGTGATAATTTATATAATGTTATAATAATTAATTATATAGGCCTAATATAATTATTCAATAATAATATAATTTTATAGCATATTTATACAATAAGGCCAAAAAAAATTGTTTGTTTGCCCTCCTCCACCCACCCCTAACTCACTGAAAAAATAGGGGCAAAAAAACAAAAAAAAAAGTTTTTTTTCAGCTTTATTTCTTTACAAATAGAAAAAAAAAATGAAAGTGTTTTTATCTTTATTTTTTGCCAGATGCCCTACAAATTAGTCTAAAGTTGTTGTCTGATGTAAGATATTGCCATTCTAGGCCTCTGGGTTATTTTTATTCCATCTGATGAGTATCTTAAAAAAATAAATAAATAAACTTTTTCCACCGCCCCTATTTATCATTTTTTTTTAAAAAGGGCAAACAAACAATTTATTTGTTTTGGCCTAAGGTTTAGTTGAGAAATAATATAATTGAACGTAAATGGATAACATTCAGGAAGCATAATAACACGAATGATAAAAGTTAGGATAAGGAATAATTTGAGAAGATTACTTTTTCATTTCAAAGTTGATTGAATAACAAGGAATATAGCGAATATTATCTCATACATAGGCATCTGACTGGTCAAGAAGTGGGCACTAGAAAGTACTAAAATTCTCAACTGGAATCATCCAGTTGATTTTAATTCTAAGGCAGCATTAATTGCCTCTTTCTAGTTTACTTTTCGACAATTCTTTTGATATATTGATTAATATCATTTATAGTGAGAAATAAATGTGATTTGAAATTAAATGAAACAAGATACATAATCTTATAATTTACAAGCAATATCTGTTACAGGAAAAAAAAATATAATTTACACATTTTATTTTCTTTTTAGTTATTATAGGACAAGTAATAGCCGGAGATAGTACCACAACATCTACTAACATCTCTATTGACAACACATTGATACAAGTAGTTGTTCCTACGTCTTCTTTTTATGGAATGACCGGTATTGTTTGCTTTTAGTTGATCTTTGTTTTTTCTACATCTATAGGAAATAATGTAAAAATGTAAATCTTTAGGCATTGCTAGTATAAAATTATTAAGTAAAGTATTACCAATAAAATGAAAAATACAACAAATACTTTTAATCCAAAGATGGGCTCATTTATTTAATATACTTCTTGTTTTGATACTGTATATTGGTACTGTAACATGGATATACTGAATATATAACTATATTACGTTGATGTGTATTCGATAGTCGTGTGTTCAACTACACACATGCATATCTTAGCACTCTAGGACAAGGCAATTTTTGTTTGTTTTAATGTCTTCACGCATGAGTATAAGTAGCATACTTTGTTAACATACAAGTTTGTATTTTCTGAGTTTAGTGGCAGTTGTGACAAAGACGCTCTACAAGGCAATGCCAAATCAACTGGGAGGAAGTGAGCGTGACAACTCGAGCAGGCTACTCCCTAGCATTGTGTCTATATCAATTCCGACTGCTGGTTTCCCAGAAAACACCTTGTTTGATCATAATGACACAATGAGTTTGAGTATTACGCATATGGAAGTAAGTATTTGTTGATACAATTTACATACTCTATTAATTACTTGGTTGTGCTTTATCATTATTATATTATTATTATTATTAAAAATAATAATTATAATAATAATAATTATTATTATTATTATAATAATAATAATTATTATTATTATTTAGGGACAACAGTGGAAGTAAGTTACTTTTTGTACTTTTTGGTGTTTTTATCCTTGAATGTTTTTACTATTGATTACTTTCAGAATGAATAAATTTTTAAAAAATAACATAAATAATCTGTATTATAATTACGCTTATTTAAAAGCATGAAATTGTAACAGACAACCGAGGGCCTAAATAAACGTCTCGGATTCGAAAACATGTATAGGTCATCCCCAAGTCCTGATTGTGCAAAGTGATATCATCCATATTTCAGATTAATTGTGGGACAAATAATTAATTTTACAGTTGTATTGCACTGCCACGCGTCTTTAACTTGACCAAAATGGTGTCTATGTATTTCTGCATTCCGTAGCCGTATCTCAGTCGTATTTGTGGTTTATATGGAATGCAAAAAGAGCAACATTCAACATTCATTTCTGTAGTTTTATATGGAACGCCAAAAGGGCAAATTTCAAAGAAAGACGATCTTCAAGCAAACTTGGGTATTAGTCACAGTCGGTTAACAAACACAGTAGATATTCATCAAGCACAGTCGGTTTTCGGGTTCTCAATAGATTACAATAAGAATTTGCTTTAGCAGCCCCTGACCAAATATGTTTTCCAAGGAAAATTATGGAGAGAAAATACAAGATATTTCCCTATAAACAATATTGCTAATTTCTTCTCATTTTAATGTTTTCTAATATTCTTAGGTTATGAAAAATTGAAACTGCTTTTAAAACCATGCAACCTATCTTCTATTAGTGGTCAAATTGTTCTTTTTTTTAAAATCGAAACTAATTGGGACGTTCACAAACTAACATACTAAGCTGGCTAAACGAGCTCACCCTCTAGTAGTAGAAATAATAATAACTACTAGAGGGCACACGGAGAGTGCATACCTCCACCTCCACCCATATCATAATTCTCCTCAGTATAAATTTCTCCTGCATATTGTCCCCATAAAAAATAATGAAAAAAACAACTCAAGTAGACTCCTTGCGTTTTGAACCCGGGACTGGTAGTGTGGAAAACCCTCTTCTAACCACTACACCAAACTGCTTTGGATATATCACTTTGAAATTAATGGTCATATGATTATTTACACTTTATCGACAAGCCTGTATAAGCACACACACACACGTGTCTATACAGCAAACAGTTATACAAGTTTTTCGATCATTGTGTCCTTGACCTTTGACCCTGACCCTTTAAAATGTAGTCACTTCAGATCTTTGGTAAAGAAACATTGTGGCCAATTTTGACAAATTTCTGATAAGAACTGTTTTAAAAAATCGTTTTTTGTTGATTGTGAACTTCACTTTTAACCCTTACCCTTTAACATTTAAATACTTTGAGATATTTGGTCATGGAACATTCCAAGTTTGTGATTAAAACTATGGGCTGTAGACAAATAGATTTAAAAAAATAATTTTTCGTTGATTGTGACCTTGACCTTAGACCCTGACCCTTCAAAATTTAATCAGCTCTAGATCTTAGATAAAGGAACATTGTGGCCAAGTTTCTGATAAAAACTATGGGGTGTACACTGTTCACAACAAATATGCCAACAAAGAATAGCTAAATAAATCAACAGGCAAAAATATAATCTCCAGCCAACTTGGCAGAGGTAATAATAATCCTCAGCCAACTTCGTTGGCGGAGGTATAATAATAATGATAGTAATAATGATAGTAATGATGATGATGATGTGTAGAGTACACAAATGTGAAAATTTACCACAAATGTAAAAATGACCATAAAGGTGTCAAAACATTGTACCCACAAATGTAAAAATAACTGCAAATGTCATAACATGTCAATTACAAATGTAAAAACAACCACAAATTTAAAAACAAAAAAAAATTGCCTACAAATGTAAAAATTGGTTTAACCACAAATGCAAAAATTTCTATTTTTACATCAAATGTCATAACAACGCAACCGCAGATGATGATGATAATGGTGGTGATATTGTTTAACTTTCATTTATAAATGAAGCAAAATAACATCGGCACTTACCTGAACGTTTTGATCACAATCGACGATCATTTTTAACTGAGTGTGTTGTTACTTCAGTCTGGTCATGACGTCGTCAAATGCGCTATAATAACAGTATAATAACAATGATAGCAATATAATATCAATGATAACAATAACAATGACAATATAATAACAATTATAACATTAACAATGATAATAACAATAATAATATAATAACAATAACAATATAATAAAAATTGTAACAATAATGATAGAAATTTAAAAAAAAATAATAGTAATGAGGATAATGATAAAGATAAAAATAATAACACTAACAACAATATAAAAGATACTGAAAAATAAAGATGTAGATAACGAGGGCAATGACGATGACATATGCCCACGGCGTATTATGCACAATATTTGTGGGACATAAATCTATTTGGTGTAGGCATATTTGCATGATATATTCTTTTTTAAGTATAATGTTATTACTGTTTTTTCTGCAGATAATGGAGGAGGATACGCAACCAATATGTGTATTTTGGAAACTTTTGGACAAGTGAGTAACATGCTTTAAATGTTAATTGTAGATTGGCGAATGCAAATGTTATATGTACAACAAAAAACTGAATATATTCCTCAAAAATGTTTACTTAATAATTAATAACATATTTATTTTGTCAGTCATACTATTCGCTGTAACCACAAAATAATAAAGGATTTTTTTTTTATTACAAACAAAATAATGGGATTATATCTGTATGAAGTGTATTACTAATATGTTTACATGTTATGTGTTGTTGTACCTACACTATGTAGGCCTAAGGTGATGTTTCAGGTAGAGTATTTTTTTTACTATAGGCATACAACGTGCCTAATGCTAGAGTTCATTGAAAATCATCCCACAGCTAAAACAAAAATGCATGCCGAATTAAAAAATCAAAAGGGGTGGCGCCAGGATTTGCCCAAAGAGAGCTAAGTGACCGTGGTCAGGCTTTCCCCATAATTTTTAGAAAGGGGTCCAATGAAAATTTAGAGGTAAGGCTTATTTAATCGATTTTACAGGCTACTAAAATGTAGAAAATACAAATATTTTTTTTTTGTCCTCAACGTGGGGCCCTGGTCCTCGGCTCCCCTTGTGCCACTCCTGTAGTTAAATAAATAATGTAAAACATATAGAATGGGAAGCAACTTGTTTTGGCTAATAAATTCTTTGGCTAATAAATTCTAGCACGAGCCCTATCCAGCTCAGGCTAGAATGAAGAGGAAATACAAAATAACAGCTATCCTAGTACATGTTGGTTGGAAAAATTACTGAGAATCAATTTCTACATGGCTAAAATCCATGATAAGGTAACAACTTTATTAGTTTGAAAGTGGCCATTCAAACAATATCAATTTGTATATATTTATAAATATATGGTGCATTTTTTTTTTTTTTTAGTTCAACTGGTGGTGGCTGGTCAGATGATGGCTGTGAAGTTGTCACTTATAATAACACACATATTGTTTGCCAATGTACGCATTTAACTAATTTTGCAATTTTGATGAAAGTAAACGAAAATCAACCTGTAAGTTATTTATTATTGCTATTTTTTATATTATTATTATTATTAT